ACACACACACACACACACACACACACACACACACACACACACACACAGAATATGGCTACTAAATTAAAAAAAAAACTTTTTTTGCGTAAGGATGGCTTAGTATTCTTGTGAACAAGTAATTTAATTATGCTTTGGCTTTGGGTGTTCCACCTCAGAAGTGAGAGGCAAAATACTAATCTAGTGTTCTTATGAAGGTGATATGAGGTTGTATGATATATATAAATGCCATTTGTAAATTGTAAAGTATCTTACAGATACAAAATAATTATTTATGAAATACGATAGATCTCTAGAACCTTATAGTGACAGATGCCAGTTTTATGTACCCCTAATGCTTAAGTTAGTTAGCTTTTGTGTATATCTTTGTTAAGTGAATTACTGTAGCAATTATCCATGATATGTTTTATAGCAATTGCCTCCTATGTTTTATAGCAATTGCCTATTATGTTTTATGTGTGTTCTTGGGATTGTGTATGATGGCTGTTACAATATACTTTCTAGGGGTAAGGTCCCAATGTAGTATTTCTGTTTTGCATGCTCTGATTGCTCCTCTGTAGCCAATTTATGCCTCCATTATGCTGTCACTGGACACAGAGTTGGACAGAGACACTTTTGTAATTCAGCCCTCCCAGTTTGCAGCAGCCGGTGCTGTTCATCCTGAACTAAGTGATGTGTAGTCAATTACAGATGGTTAGGTGCACAGTCTCTAAACAAGACTGTTTAGACTCTTCACTGCACCTGAAAGCCAGCGATCTGATGCTTAGGCTCAGGTCCTGCTTCCAACTCTGAGCTTACCTCTTCTGCTCTCAGAAGCCAGTGCTTTTAAGCTTTAGTTTCTTGGTCAGTAAAGCAGACAGCATAGTAACCTCCATCTTAGTATAGATAAACAAAACAGTTCCTAACCAGTGTGCCGTTTCAGAGGAAACATTCATCTTTGAAAGGTTAACTTCTGCATGGCTCTATAGCATGTCAAATTGAGTTATATATATTTATTTTATTTTTCAGCTGACATGGGTTTTGCCAGACTATTCAATTCTCCTCTAAAGCCACTCGCAGATTTGGATCCAGTAGTTGTGACATTTTGGTATCGGGCTCCAGAACTTTTACTTGGTGCCAGGCATTACACAAAGGCCATCGGTAAGTGCTGAGATGGTTGACAGGCTGAGCCCTCATAAATGTGAACTAGTTCATAATAAAGACAGTGTATATGGAAAGAACACGCACTTCTTCCTTTATGCTCACATAGCTGTTGATATGAAGAATCAGAAAGAGTTAGAACTGTCTTCACAAAAAGAGAATCAGGCCAGGAGTGTCATGCTGGAGAAAAGCTCATCTCCGAGTGTCCTAACCAAGACATGGTGCAATGTTCCAGCTCTTGCTGCTTAGGTCTGCAGAATGGGAATTTGTCCTGAATTTGTCCATTCAGGCAGGAAATACAGCAAATACAGGAAATACTTTGCTCAGCAACTTGCCAGACTACCAAGAAGGAAAAAGAGCAAGAGAAAGAAGAATGATTATAAACATGTTTGTTAGAATTTAATGGTCTTCTTTACAACAGACACTTCCAAGATTTTACTGCCTTACTGCTGAGAAGCCTCAGCTATTGGTAGGGGCTGACAGGTGAGAATCTTCCTTGATTCTGGCGATTTCTTTACCATGAGGAAAAAGAGAAGACAAGGAGAGAGTAAACAGTGGCCTAAAGGTCTGGGCTTGTAGCGTCTTGATTGTAGGGACTTCATCCCTTTTCTTTAAAGCTTCTGTCTCCTGCTGCGAGTAGAGCGCTGATCACATTGGCTGTTGTTACGCTCTGCTTAACAGAGGCGCTAAGAGTATATTGTTACTCAAAATCCACAGGAAACACAATCCTGTATGTGTTTAACAAGCTTCTAAACATGCTGTACACTCAAAGCGCTGTGAGTGTGCTTTCTGTATTTAGGAAGATGCAGTTAGCTTCCTAGCTGATTCATGGGTAAAAATCACAGTGCCTTATTTATCAGAAGGTCTGATTTCTTCAAAATCCAGATACCAGAAATACTTAAGACTGTAGCATAGTGCTGAAATAGTGTAAAATATTCGTAAATATTACTAAACGTTTGCAAAAGCCTAGTGGCCTCGGAATTGTTGGGACAAGTGTGTTTGAGGAATGTGAGTGTGATGTTAGCTCGTGTCCAGTCAGATCAGAGGCTGTGGAAGCCATGCCATCAGTGGAGTGCCTGGGGTGGCTCCAAGACTGAGCGCTAAAAACCAGCACCCTTTTGTATTCCAATCGAATGGGATTGCTTTCTTGTTATCCAGGTCTTTTCCTACCAACTGTTGGGAGCAGTCTCTCAGATAACTCAGAAAGCAGCAGAAGATAAGGGGAGAAGTCTGAGAGTGTGTGGGGAAGGGTTACTTGGGAATTAATAGGATCTTAAAACAGACAAGATGGTATATAACTCAGGGCATAGGGAGGGTGGCATTACAGTGTGTAACATGATCTTGTCACCCATCAGTGCATAGGGCCACACTGATAGCTATCCTGGTATTCTTGCAACTCGGAGACTGAGCATGCTTGGTAGAGGGTGTAGAGTCAGTAGCAATCCATGTGTTCTGGCCCTCACCTACAACCAGTAGAATAAAAAAGGGAGAGTTCTCATTAAGAAAAGGAATATTTAGCCAGAAGTTTTTGGGGTTTTTTTCCTGCTAATATTGTTTTCTGCCGTGCCTTAGTTACTTTTTAATTACTGTGATAAAAATACCGTGAGCAAAGCAACTTAGAAAAGTAAGAAATTTAATTTTGGGCTCACAGTGAGCCCATGATGGTCAGGGTGTGGGGAGCCTTCTATCGGGCAGGAAGGCAGGGAAGACAGGATGCTGTAGCTTTAGCTGAGGTTTGCTTCTGGACCCACAAGGCTGGGAGAACTAACAGGGCCAGCGGCACACCTCCTCCAGCAAGGCCGCACCTCCTGATCCTTTCCAAATAGTTTTACCGACTGGGGACCAAGTGTCCAAATAGGAGCCTATGGCGGTTCCTTTCATTCAAACCGCCACACTCACCCAAGTTGGTGTTATGCATACAGTGCTTTTCACATACCTTCCTGGCAGTGTGCTACGCGCCTTACACACTGGAGAGCAGTCTTTGAGAAGCACAGTTGTAGGAAAATAGATGTGGTGGAGTTCTTGTTGTAGCTATATATTTGTTGCATTGTTTTTAATAAATGTAATTGGCCATGAATTAAAAATCAACTATTTTTCCTTCTAAGGAGAACTGATTTGAATGTTAACCAGCTTGCAACTTATTTGCTCAGTTAGTGAGATTTAGCACGTGAGGTAAAAACGTAATTACTTAGTAGGTGCTTATACCTGTAATGCTAGTGCTTGGGAAGATGCAGATGCAAGCAAGGTTGTGAGTGAGCTCAAGGCCAGCCTGTGCTATGCAGCCAGACCATAGCTCATCTCCAAAACGAAATCATCATCGCCAGTTTTAGTCAGGTCCTAATTATCCATTCACATTGGAAGCTATACAGATTATTAAGATAGGATAAAGAATAACTTCCAAATCAGATATCTTTGGGTTTAAAATATATTCATAACAATGTTTATAAACACACACATAGTTTTCACTCATTCTCACCTGGTTCATGTCAGAAACAAGTATAAATGATGAAAGAGCTAGATGGGAATATAAAATTATAAGATAGTGTTGGCAGGAAACAATTTAACACTGCTTGCTTCTCTGAAGTTCATAAGGAAGTCTAGATTTTGCTTTCTGTCCTTTGAATAAAGGACCAATCAGGAATTAACATGACTAGCAACTTAGAGTAGCAGTATAGTCACTGAGTGTATTAAAAGCAGCAAGGAGGAAGAAAACTGATGAGTGTCAGACAGCATGGTGTGGAGGATAGGAAAGAATTTTAAAAGTAGACACAGAATATTACTGCATGGTGCTGATGGATGGTCACGATGATGACCTTGGCTGTATCATTAAAGAAGATTAGATTATGTTTTCTAGCCTGTAGATGGTGTTGTGGTGGACAGTGGTTACTGAAGGCTGTCTCCCACTATCCAGAAGGCCTATATCTGCAAAGAGAAGTATCTGAATGGTCAGAGAAGAGAGACATTACAACATGGTTTTCTGTTGGGCAGTTTGTTTTAAAAGAGAGATACTGACACTAATTCTAGATAATGCATATAATTAAACTATTTGCTTCTGTAGTTTATCTTCAGGATATGTTGTATTTGGCCTTGTGGTAAACTTAATTCTTTTCTACATCATACCATATTACTAACAATATTATCTACTTATACTTACTAAATACCATTTATCAAAATGGACAAATGTGAATATATCTCAGAAGTTAATTGACTTATGCATATAAAACATTATAGGTATATAGAGTCCTAAAATATAAGTTATGTCTTCAATATAAAAAGCCTAAGTACAGACACACATTAGCAACGTTAAGTAGTAAAACTGTCATTTAAGTAACCCACTACTTTAGTGCTGGTGGGATCAAGCCTGGGGTCTTCTGCAGCCAGACAGTATCCAGCCACAACTGTAGCTCCTACACGCCAGCTACGTACATGCTCAGTCCTGAAGGTTTCAGTAGTGGTGAGGCGACAGCTAAGGGAGTATGTTAAGATAGAATGTGTCTCACTGGTGTCGTGCAGCACTTGTAGATACTCACTTAGCTTATTAACTTCTAGACTTGGAATTTTGGAGAAATGGACTTTTGTAGTTTTGCAGGCAGAAGTTGAGTTTTCCACAGTCCTTCTGCTCTCTCTGTAGACTTAAGATTAAAGAAACTCTTATGCTTGCTGATGATAATATTGTTTTCATCCAATCAGATCCGAGTATCATATGGCCTGTTAAATGATCGAATAAATGCTTCGGTGATTAAATTAGTGCTGACATTTGGAAAGAAATTTATTGTGTCAAGTATGGTAGCACAAGCCTGGGATACCAGCAGTTGGAATGATGAAGCAGAAAATTCATAAGAGTTTGAGGCCAGCCTTGGCTATAAAATGAGTTCTTTCAAACTGCCACCAAGAAAGAATCCATTGTTTGGCTTCTCATATCTTTGTGTGAGATCCTGAGATCAAACTAGACTTGCATGGCCGATGCCGTTAGCCATCTTGCTGGCTCTATGTAAATCTTATTTTTATTTATTTAAGGGGAGAATCTCTTGTGTCTCAGGCTGGTTTTGAATTTTTGGTATAGCTGAGGGTGACCTAGAACTTCTGGTACTTCCACTTTTCAAGGGCTGAGATTACAGATGTGTGACACTGTGGCCTGTGGTTTTGTGGTACTGGATTGAGCCTAAGACCTTGTGCATTCCAGGCAAACTGAACTACATACCAGCCACTGTATGCTTCCTTAATATGCTTATTAGACTTTACATACTGCTCTACTTAAGCGTATTTTGTATGTATTTTGGAGTTCTATCAGGGAATTGTAACTAAGGAAATGAATGCATTTGTATAAACAGTTGTTTTTCTTTTCATAGATATATGGGCAATAGGCTGCATATTTGCTGAACTGTTGACTTCAGAACCAATTTTCCACTGTCGTCAGGAGGACATAAAAACAAGCAATCCTTTCCATCATGATCAACTAGATCGAATATTTAGTGTCATGGGGTTTCCTGCAGGTAATTTTTGCCATTTCTAAATAGCTATTTTGAGTTATATTTCAAAAGTGGTCCTCTATAAAAGTATGCATAAAGTTTTTGTTTATTTTTAAACTTAAAAAAAAAAGACTTTTAATAAGATATTTTCAATTTTAAAAACTTTTTTTTTTTTTTTTTTAAAGATAAAGACTGGGAAGATATTAGAAAAATGCCAGAGTACCCAACACTTCAGAAAGACTTTCGAAGAACAACGTAAGTAATTCCAGATTCTCTTGGTCCATGGATGCTGGGAAACACAACCAAAACTCTGAGACTGAGTTGTTCATGAACAACAGAAGTTGCTTTCCTACACTAATGGAGGTGGGGTTGCTGAGGGTGCAGGTGCTGGCAGGTGTCTGCCCTTTCTGCTGCGGTGTCCCATGGGAGAAGGCAAAGGCTGTAAACAGTGTAGAACGTCATCGATAGGTCGTCAGGGCCCTTCATAGTCACAGACCCTTCCGTCACAAACGCCCTTGAAGTCATCGCTGTTATACATACAGGAGAGTAAATTTCAGCACGAATGTCTTACGTGATACAAATATACAGACATGTTAATTACAGATTGTAGCTAGTGCAGGAAAATTCACTCCTTTTTCTTTTGAAGGATATAGATTTAAACCAGAGACTCAGATGTTAGTTAGTGCCTGTATTTTAAAGAATATATTTTAACATATACCCAATTTTAGGGCTGTGATATTTAAAAACAGAGGCCAGGCAGGCCTGGTGGCACACACCTTTAATCCCAGCACTTGGGAAGCAGAGGCAGACGAATCTCTGAGTTCAAGGCCAGCCTGGTCTACAGAGACAACCAGGGCCACACAGAGAAACCTTGTCTTGAAAACCAAAATAAAATGAAAAGCTGCAGTCTGAATATGAGAAAGGTCTCTGCCCAATACGACAGCTGTGGTTTTAAGCTCTGGTGACTGACATGCTGTAGTGAGAAACTGGGAAGGGTGGCAGGGTAGTCCAGGATCTGATAAAACAAACTGCTGGAGACATGTATGTTGATAGAAGGGAAGGGAAGGGCGAAGGCCAGCTGTTAGCCCGGCTTCCCTGAGAACTGACAGAGTGTGTGCATGCCTGCGCACGTGTGCATGCATGTGAGCATGTTGGTTTATGGGATGTAGTCCAGTTAGCCCAGCAATGTTCATCTTATACTGGAGAGGCTTAGAATCTGGAGGTTGTTCAGTCCATGGGCCCGATGTCTTAGCAGTCTCAGTCTGGCACTGAAGGCCTTGACTCCTGGAGAGCTGCCAGTCTTCCATTTATATTGGCATTCCAAAGAAGTTGCTTTAATACTGGTGAAGAAATACCACAGCAACAGGAGAGGTAGACTTGCCAACAAGAGTGAGGACAAGCAGGCAAAAAGGTTTTCTTCTTTCATGCCTTTATCTGGGCTGCCCCCTGGAGGTGCTACCCACATTTAGGGTGGGGCTTCCTGCTTCCGATAATCCCAGAAAAGAAAACCCCTCCCATTCCCAGCACCTCCCCGGCAGCTCACAGCTGTCCATAACTCCAGTTCCAGGGGATCCTACACCTTCTTCAGGCTCCCAGTAGGCACTGCATGATCATGGTACACAGTTGTGCATGCAGCCAAAATGCCAAAACACAGAAAATGAGAGAGAAGGGACTGGAGAGATGGCTTAGCAGTTAAGAGCACTTGCAGCTCTTGCAGAGGACCCAGGTTCAGGTCTCAGCACTGCAGGACAGTTGACCATTGTCTAGTGCTCTCTGCAAGCATTGCAAGTGTGTGGTGTTAAAACACATTAAAAAACAAGTAATGATCATGAGGTCTCTCACAGGAGTGCCCTGGGAGTTTGTATTGTCACTGATCCGGAAGTGCAGTCAAGTTAGAAACAGGACCCCTTCATCTTACCAGGACCATCTCATACAGGACAGGGTGTAGAAAGAAAAGCAGGTATCAGGAGGGAACCCTGTTCCACATAGCCTTCCATAGGCACTGTCACCTCTGTCATGCAGAGTAACACACATCTTAGACTTTTCGCCTGGGTTGCTGTGTCACTGCACAGTTTCCCTGGCAAACTGCACAGCCTTGATGGCCGTGGCTTAGCACCAGTTAAGCCTGTAGCGCCTAGTTTGTACAGCGCACAAATCTCATACCTGGGCCAGGGAGTGTGACTCGAGTTGGAGACACTTGGAGCTCAAGCCTGATGACCTGACTGAGGGATGTGACTTGTTCGCTGGCTCCACATGCATATTGTGGCACACAAACACACATATGCACACAAACATAAACATGTATATACACACAAAAACATATCTTTTTTCAAAGTGTACTAAAGTTTTGGACTAGAAAAATATTTTTTGTTTTTTTGCAGGGGGAGGTTAGATTCTAAAAATGCTTTGGATTTCAATTTTTGGGGTTAGACCTGTCAAACCTGTGTATCTCACTCAAGTGTATCCCCAGTTTCACTTATTAAACCACCAATGGAATCTCCGTCTGAAATAGACTCCTGTTTGTCCTCTTAGGCTTAAACCTTTGCACCTTTCATGTTGTAAGAAATGACTCCATATTCTCCTAATTGTTGAAGCCCTAGGCCCGGGACACACCTGTCACTCTTCATGCATTTCACTTGCACCTACCTCACAGAATCCAAATGATTAGCAAATCTACTCAGTTCTTTTTTTTTCTAGAAATGCTCTGAATCTGTTTCTAGCCATCAGTTTTGCCAACATAGTTAGACGACCAGTAGGTTTCCCTTACAATCCTTCAGTGGCTCCCTGTGCTGTGTTTGTCCCCTCTTCATTCTGACTCATTGCACACTGCCAGCATGGGCAAAGCAGATTGAAGAAACTGGGTATGATGACAAAGCCCAGTCTTCGGGAGGCTGACACAGATCAGTGAGTTTGAGGCCAGCCTGGGCTGCGATGTAGTGAGTACCAGGCTAGCCAGGGCTGCATAAGCAAAACCTTTGTCTCAATAAATAAGTAAATAAATACAGCAAAATGAATGCACCACTTTTATCATCATTTTCCATTGCTTTCTGTTCTTTAACAGTTGCCAAGCCTTGGCTACAGAAGCCACAACTTATCCCTTGGCCTCTCCATGTTTCACCTTCTGTAGCCTAGCATTATAGATGCTCCATGTTTCACAGTCCTTCAGCTCTCTTTGACCTTTGGAATTTTGCATACATGTTTTCTTCCCACCACTTTCATCATACTGATTGTTGCTTGCTCTTCGCACTTAGTCCTTCGGTCTGGGTTCCCTGACCTTCTGGCCCAGATTGTTCCCCTTTGTGCTTGTCTTGCCTCCTGTAGTGCTGTTCTTGTCGGTGTTCATTGTATACTACATCTTTACACACTGTAGGAGTCCCCTCTACCCCATTGCATGTATCCGTCCCTGTGCCCTGGCATATACTATATGTTTATTCATTTATTTTCTTAATTTATTTTTATTTTATTTTCATTGGGTTTTGCTGCATGTATGTCTGTGTGAGGGTGTCAGAAGCCCTGGAACTGGAGTTAATAGACAGTGGTGAGTTGACATGAGGGTGCTGGGAATTGAACCCAGGTCCTCTGGAAGAGCGACCAGTGCTCTTAACTGCTGAGCTATCTCTCCAACTGCCAGTACTCATTAATTTTAGAATTAACTGCTTCTAATGCACCACATAGTGCTAGGCTGTAGTTTAATGGAGTGCTAATCTACCATATACAAGGCCCTGGCTTCAGTCTTCAGAAAAAGAAAAAGCATGGCCCAGTGCCCACCCTTGCCCCTATAATGACTGACAGAAGATGGCCCAGCAGGTGAGATTGCCCCCAGAGTTCTGCAATATGTATGGGTCTAATCTAACACATAAAAGTTACTCGGGTAAGCCATTCACAGTAGCAGCTCATGGGGAATTTCAGCACTTGGAGAAGGAGAGATTACTTAGTCCCAAGCCAGCCTACCACAGAGTGAGGTCCTGCAAACAAAGAGAAACAGTCTGGGCGTGGTGGCACACACCTTTGATGCCAGGCTGAAGAAGGTTGATCTGTGAGTTAAGCTAGCCTGGTTTACAGAATGGAGCTCCAAGCCAGCCAGGGCTACATAACGAAAACAGAGTATGTAGAAAACAAATCTAGAAATTACTATTTCAGATAAAATAGTATTTCAAAAGTAAAAGAATTTTAACTTGCTTTATATTATCAGAAAAAAAAAAAAAAACACTGCGTGTAAATTGCTAAGAGTAAAGATAGATGTTTTGTGACTGTTCTAAGGTGTCAACTCCAGGTGGCTCACTGGAAAGAAAGTGAGGCTGAGGGCATCAGGCAGCTCACTGCAAACATGTGGATTTAAGTCCTGAGCAAGCCAAAAGGGAGGAAGCATGCATTTGAAGGAAATAATTAGATTTACTTTGAAAACCTGAATGTTCAAATAAACACAGTTTGATAGATAGTTTAAAAGTCTATATCATTTGGAAACTGTTTAGTCCTTAGAAAAGAATAATTCAGAAAATAAACAGTTAATCTTAACTTTAACACTAAGAAAAAAAAAGACAAGCTATAATTGTATGTGTACAGTTGAATTCAGCAGTAAGACAAATCCAGGCTTTTCATGTGATAGAAACAACCTAGCACCCAGCATTAACTCCGGAAATCATTAAAAGAAGGAAAAGAAGATCTAAGACAGGTAGAGAAATTTGATTTCTCTGTAAAGTGTCAGGGCTCTTCCCATTACCAAACCCAGTGTCTACCGTGTTCATGACTTCTCTGAGTCACAGCTCAGCATTGTCCAGAGCACAGTGAACGGACGCCTCAGCTGCTGCCTTCTGTGAGGGTGAGTGCTCTTGGAGGCTTGTTACAAATGTAGTCCCTGAAGTGGGTGCTGTTGTTATGCCCAGATCTTAAGGTCCCCAAAGACCACCAGGAGCCGCACCACATATGCAAGAGCAAAGAGCTTTATTCAGGCTTAAGCTCGGTCTCTCCACCATCACCAATGTCACCAACACAGCGGAACAGAGAGGAGAGCCCCAGCTACTGCACAGCAGGGTTTTTATTGGGGTTTGTTTGAGCAAGAACTGGGAATTCCAGCTTAGCAGTTACTCGATTGGATGACATTCAGCAAGGGCCGTCAGTGATTACAAAGTGATTGGCTAACTAACGTAACATTAAGCAAGCTATCTATAGACTTGAGGAATGTTAGGTATTTTCTGTGCTATGAAATGTCCTTCTACACGGGCGGTGGGCTGCCCAGCACCGGTACCCAACCCTGAGATAAGATACCTTCCCATTCTTGTAGTTATCCTCAGGCTGTTCCTTGGGCAGGGAATTTTATGACTTGGGGTGGGGTGGGGTCACTAGTTCCTGGTGATTTTGGGGGGTGTTAGGCCTGGTTCTCTCATTGTTGTCCCAGATAACCTAGAGGCTGAAATGGACTTGAGAGCAGCCTGAGCAGTACAGCAAAGCCCGTCTAAAGAGGTTGCTCTTGCACAGGCCCAGTTAGGTTCCCAGTACTCACGTGGCGGCTCACAGCCATCTGTAATTCCAGTTCCTTGAACTCATAGATCCACCTGCCTCTGTCTCCTGAGTGCTGTGATTAAAGGCTTGTGCCATCTCCACTGCCCTATTTAAATACTCTTAAAAGGCACCAATCCTGCTTCAAAAATAAAGAATGAAAGAAAAGGGAAATTATCAAATACTAACAATGGTTTATGTCTTTATGTATGTAAAGTATGTAGTATACTTAGAATACACATTAATCCCCCCCACTCACCTCTCAGCCTAAGAAGTAGGATGTTTCGAAGTATACTGCCATCTCTGGGTACTTCCCTCTCTGTTTTCATCTCTCCCAGAGGGAAGACAGGATACTCTGGATTTGTCTTTATGATCCCACAGTTTTATCGTATGTGGATATATCTCTAGAATTTATTCAGTTTAACATGTCTTTGAGCTTTATATAAATGGTGTCATTTATCTTCCCCATTCAGTTTTACATATTTATGACATTTCATTTATTCAGTGAGTATAGTAACAATTGATTTACCTAGTGGGTGGATATTTGCTTGTTTATAGGTTTGGGGTTGGTGTTTGGTTTTTGTTTTGTTTGTATTACAAAAATGCTAGTAAGAATATTCTCATATGTCCTGATACTCATGTCTAAACCTAACCCTGGTGACAAGCCTGTGGTCCTAGCTGCTCAGAAGGCTGAAACAGGAAGATGGCTCAAGGCCAGCCTGTACAACTTACTAAGATCTGTCTCAAAATAAAAAGGGGGGAAAGATAGGGAGATGATGTTCAGCTGTGGAGAACTTGCCTGCCATGCATGATTTAGGATGTCTGGCACTGCAGAAGCAGAAACAAAGCAAGCCATCTTAGACATGAGCGTGTGTCAGAATAGTTGCTGGCTTTCAGGGTCTATGTATTTTCAGCTCTGATGGTTATACGTAAGCATATCCAAAGTGACTACAGCATGCGGCTTGTAGTTTCTAGCAACCCTGGTTCTTCATAATGTGTCAGTACTGTGTAATGTGATGTGTAATGTGTTTGCACATACACCTTAAAGATACGTGCCTTAGAAGTGTTCTTTCAGAATATGAATAACTCGTGTCCTCCTGGCGTGTGCTTGTGTCCTTGCAGGTATGCCAACAGCAGCCTCATAAAGTACATGGAGAAACACAAGGTCAAGCCTGACAGCAAGGTGTTCCTCCTGGTAGGTGCCTCTCTCAGCCTGGACCTGATGCTCATGTGCTCACCTTACTCTGGTCCCTGGTCCCTGTGGAATTGTCCCAGCTAGTCTTCCTTTAGAAAGGAGGCAATAAACAAACAAACAAACAAATAAATAAAGTGCTGGACACTTGAGAAATTAAATCTTATTCTATTAAGGAATCATCCTTGACATCCTAAGTGATTCAGATCAGGAAAAAAAGAACTTTCAGGAGCCTTGAGGGTGATTTCATGCCTATGTGGATAGTGTACTAATCGTACAATGAACAGTACAGGATGATATGATGGAGAGGTGAGGGCCAGTAAGGTGACTCAGGGGTCAGAGCACATGCTGCCAAGCCTCGACAACCTGGGTCTGAGCCACAGTCCCTGGAACCCACATGGAAGCACTGACTGTAAACACACGTCCATGTGTGCAAGAGGTGAATTTGGTGTCATATGAGACAATGCAGAAGTCAAGTAGTTGACTTGGCAGCAACCTTTTCGTGTGTTGTCACAGTTCTTATTTGTTGCTCTAGCTTCAGAAACTCCTTACCATGGATCCAACCAAGAGAATCACCTCAGAGCAGGCTCTGCAGGACCCTTACTTTCAGGAGGACCCTCTGCCAACATTGGAGTACGTACCGCTTGCTTTCTCCATGTTCTTTGCTCAAGTTGAAAGTGTTGGCTGCTGCTGAAAGCCAGGGGGCCACTTCACTTGCTTGACATGTTCCGCTTTGCTCATGTCGACTGCTGCAGAGAAAATCTCAGAGAAAGGCCCATGCCAGCTTCATAGATGAAAGCCAGAGCAGAAGAGATGCAGCTCAGCTGCCAGGCAACAAGAGCAGAGGTTAACCCGGGAGTGGTGCACCCCGAGGACGCCCCTCCCCTCCCCTCCCTTATCTCACCAAGCATGTGCTCCAGGTTCCTGTGTATTAGACATACTTTTTATTTTTCTCTTCTGGAGGGAAAATTTATTTTCATGGGGAAGCAAAAACAAGGTCAGTTTAGCTTGGTGCTGATGAAGTAGTGCAGAGCTCTACACATGAGTCGGCCAGCAGCAGGTGACCTCAGCGCTGACAGTGGCCCCCAGCAGGAAGGGCTCCTTCCTTATTGAGCAAAAGAAGCTGTTTGCTGGTGTCCAGCAAGCACCAGCCACAGTAGAGAATAGGCTGTAAGTTAAGAAAGGAAAGGTAAAACTTTAAAGTAAGGTTATGGAGTTAAAGATTTTAGGTGTTGACATGTATTTCTTCTAAATGGTTTTCAGTGTGTTCGCTGGCTGCCAGATTCCATACCCCAAAAGAGAATTCCTTAATGAAGATGAACCGGAGGAGAAAGGCGACAAGGTATGAGCTTCATGCAGCACTAGCTTTCAGAGAGTAAGATCAGTGAAGACATACTTGGGGGGCATACTTTGATGACCTCTGTAATTTTGCTCACCTGTTATTTAACTTAGGTTTATTTGCTCTTTGTGGAAGTTTGTACTTTGAAGTTTAAACTGAACTTCCTATTTTATCTTAGTAACCCATTCTGTTCCCAGTTCTTTCTCATTTTATTTGCATGGTGTCATCTCCACCTTGCTGTGCTTTTGTGGGTATCAGCTCTTTGCTTTATGTTAATTGAATGTATTAGCCACTTTCCAGCACTCTGTTTTTCAGAGTCCTGACTAAAAGGGGGTTTGGCTGTTTGGGGAGAGTAATGGTATTTCCCATGTCCTTATGACCCCCACAGAAATATCTGTTTAATTTGGAGATGCACAGTGAACTTCAGAGAGTGTTACTATTCAGGGCTCACTATGTTAATCTTTGGGAATGATGTATTTTAAAAGTTACCATCTCCAGTAGTTCAGTTCAGTCACCCCATGTAGCCAGGCCTTATACCCCAGGTGTGTCACCATTCATCTGGCTCCACAGTAAGACCTTCCTTCCTTCCTTCCTTCCTTCCTTCCTTCCTTCCTTCCTTCCTTCCTTCCTTCCTTC